GCATTCAAAAGTGCTGAATAAATGTTTTATGGACCCATAATAGTGATTATTATTTAAGTTAAGTCATAATCATGTCTTTTTCCATAATCAGGTAGCTGAACAACATTGGTAAAAAATGTATACATAATATATATATATATATTTAAATTTTCTATTAATCATTTTCTATTAATCCTTTCGGCATTCGGCCAACTGTTTCCTATTTTCGGTATCGGTTTCGGCAAAGAATTTCCCATTCGGTGCACCCCTAGTAGTGACTGATATGTTAATTGTAAAGAGTGTTAGATAAAAGCTATTCAGCTCTTCCAGAGGGAATTCATTCTTGTCCCCTGATCTTCAGCTGGGCCTCGATGACACCAGGCTGCACCGGATCAACGGCGTCATCATCCTCTGGAGCTTCTTCACCTGCCGGATCCTGCTCTTCCCCTTCATGTACTGGATGTACGGCCGGCAGTTTGGGGTTCCCCTGCACAGAGTGGCCTTCCATCTGCCGCTGCACTGCAACGTGGGTAACCTGGCCATCCTGGCTCCTCAGGTCTACTGGTTCATCCTGCTGCTGAGGAAAGCTAAGAGACTGTACCTGAGACTGAGCCGAGGGGCGGGCAGAACCGGGCGGAAGACGGACTGAGGCTAAAGATAGGACAAAGCCATTAAGGAGGAATGAAAAGTGATCTATTATAAAAATCTAATATATTCAGGAATGTGATCTTTCTTGGACAAAGTGTTACTATCATGCGGAAAAAAGTAATAGTTTGAGATTTAAGATGTAATATTTTGAGAATTTCCTTTTTTTTCTAATATATTTAAGGTAATATTTGATCTGAGTTAAATGGAAGAATTTGAAATATACCTAGCAATAACTTATTAGGTAGTTAGTAATACTTAATTACTATTTTTAATTACATTCTATATAGTATGAATAATATTTCCATTTCTGAAATGCTGTTTCTAAACACTCACCAACTTTTCTTAGAGATTATTCTGGAATATTATCACTTTCTCAATTATACTTTTTTTTCTTTAAATGTATGACTTTCAATGACTGGCTCCAATGTTCAATCATCATGCACTACGGCATAAGGTAGCTTTATAACTGGAAATGATTTATTTGTCTGCTGTATGTACTTGAGAAACGACCTTAAATGATGTGTTATTACTGTAGCTTTACTGTTTGCAGAGAATACTTTTGTACCAATAAAACAAATACTCTTTACTTGATAAAATATGTTTTGCTAATTCTGTGGTTGAGAGTACTAACGTATACATGTCCTAAAGACAGGTAGAACAGTTGATCTAACATTAGTTACATCATTTAATGTAAATATCGGAGCCTCAACATCTTCAAGAACCCTTTACAGTTTGAGAGAGGCGCAGCACAAAGAGACATTTGCTGTGAAATATCTTTTATTCTCTCAAACTCCTTTCCCATCACCCTCATAAATGCAGTGTATTACATCATTATTTCACAGGAGCTCGGTGTGTCAAGTTGCCGCTGACACCAGCTGAGCGATCTTCTGCTGCAGCACCGCCTTCATATCCTGGCTCTGCAGGTTGTCAGTGATGGTGGAGAAGAAGTGGCGGGTGTTGTCGCTCTCCAGAGAGCTGCTGCTGTGAGGGAACGCCGCCATGATGGCCTCGTAGTGGCTGAGGATCTCCAGGCTGCACAGGAACAGTGGCTCGCACTTGCCTCCTGGCATCATCACCTGGAAGAGGAGGGCCAATGAGACTTTCAGTCATATTTAGAAACATTACAGGAGTAGGCCCACCACTCATGCGGCTTTCACACCAGCGCTTTTCCCTTTCTAGCTCCGAGCTAGAGCTTTTCTGGTTCAGCTCCGGTTTCCCTTTTCTGCTCCCGCTTTGTTCACACCACCCAGAGCCCGACTGGTGCTGCTGCTGCTGCGTCATGACGTCGCTGATTTGCTCCCCAACGGCGTTACGGCGCTCAAAACAACAATGGGAGACTGCGTCGGGTCGATGATCGTGTTGCTTTTAATCACACGAAGCCAGATTAAATTAAATAACGACTTCTCCAACCTTATGCTTTTCTCCAGAGTGCCGTTGTTCATTGTTTATTAATGTGTCTCAGCGGCATTTACCGACCGCTGCAGTGCTGCATGCTGCTCTTCCACGGGAGTTTATTCTCCCGTTAGCTCCCGGTTAGCTCACACTGCAGCGGCCGCTCTAAAGTATTCACTGTCTGACTGTCACACAAGCAGCTGATACATATCCCCAGTTCCCCTTAAGTGAGTGTGTGTCAGTCTGAATTGACGCTGTTTGGCATCACAACGCTGTTATNTACCCTCAAAGTTCCCATGAAGCCCTCTGTAAGGCCTGGCTGTTACAGTCCTGCATAAACATCTAGGCCAGTAGACCTACAACAAAATAGTGTAAATAAAGACTGTAACAGCCAGGCCTTACAGAGGGCTTCATGGGAACTTTGAGGGTAGCCAGAAGTTGGAGTACCAAACAGTGACTCCAGGTACTCATCTGAGTACCTTACTGAGAAAGTTGTGTGCACCCCTGCCTATAAGTTTGGTAAACTAACGTGTTGTTGTGATGACGTAATCAAAACGCGGCGACAAGCACGGCGCGCAACAATGCTCGCAGCTGGCTCACAGCCAACATGTCTGCCGCTTGGAGATATTTAAAAATATCAGAGAAAGAGGTGCGGATTGCGATTTGTAAAATGTGTTCAGCTGACATTTCTCGAGGGGGTGTAACTGCAAAGACTTTCACCACTTCGGGATTACTCCACCACTTGAAATCAAAACACCCGGACAAATATACGGAGTATGATCAACGTAACCCTGTTCTCTGACATTCAGTGATATTTTTTCGGTGCTTAAAAAGGCCCTTTCGGCCGAAAGGGCCTTTTTAACCATTTTCGGCCGATAATTTTCGGCGGCCGAATATTCGGTGCATCCCTACTAATAACCATTCGTCTAAAGATTAAATCAGAAATAGCTGCCAAGATTAACACTGGTGTAAACTAAATATGAGCCAATAAAGGAATCAGCAAACTGGAATAAAAATACAAATGTAGTGAGTAGACGCTTTACAAATACATTCACACTACAGAGGAATCAAAAAGGGGCACTTTAAAAGCACAAAAACACATTTGTCAACACAGATATTAACGTACCGAGAGTCTCCCTCATGTTCTTGTAAAGGTTAATGGAGTCCGTGTCCTTCATGAACTCCCGCACCACCTCCCCCTGATCGTTCTCCACAATCAGCACCTCCTCTGGTTTGGCCATGCGGCTCACCATCAGCAAACGCACCTTCAGGGAGAGGGAGAGGGAGAGGAGATTAGGTGGATCTGAGAAACTGTGAGGTCCTTTTGAGAGAGCGTGACTAATCTTAATCTAAATCCATTACAGAAACATTATGTAGATTGCCAAATATTTGATGATTCATAGCAAAAATGTCTCATTATCTGATTCCTGCTTCTATAAAGAGAATACTTGTTTGTTTTGGTCGATGAAGTTGAAGTCTGTGGTTTTGGACTATTGGTTTGACAAAATATAATTAACATTTGAGGAAATCCCATGTGGTATTTAGCAATTTTTTACATTTTAAAGACCAAACATTTAAAGACCAAACGCTTTAACGTAAAATTGGTGTCATTTGTCAGCAGAGGGCAAAAGTCCACACTTCCTTTACTCAAGTAGAAGTACAGATACTCCTGTTTAAAAATACTCCGACTTGAGTAAAGAATTTGAGTCAGTACTTCTACTTTTATCAAAGTAAAGAGGCTTTGAAATGTACTTCAGTAAAAAGTACCCATAACTAGCAGCTGTTTTAAAGAGTACCTGACCTCCCTTTATATTAATAGAACAATAATGTCATTGTTAGCTAATGAATGTTTCCATGCTGACCAACGGCAACATGACAACGTTTTCATTGGTCCCTCTTCTTTAGAGAAGAGCAGGAAATGATGGATACACGGATCGTGTTCAAATCAATAGGCACGCAATGACTCTAAATAATAATGATCACGCCACCAAACACACATTCAAACTAAAGGAACCAGCCTGTTTGGAAAATGTGAGAAGTAGAAAGTTCAGGTATTTGAGTTCAACATGTAAGAAGTAGAAAGTACAGGTATTTGTGTTCAACATGTAAGAAGTAGAAAGTACAGGTATTTGTGTTCAACATGTAAGAAATAGAAAGTATAGGTATTTGGGTTCAACATGTAAGAAATAGAAAGTATAGGTATTTGGGTTCAACATGTAAGAAGTAGACTAGAAAGTACAGGTATTTGGGTTCAACATGTAAGAAGTAGAAAGTACAGGTATTTGTGTTCAACATGTAAGAAGTAAAAAGTCGTCAGAAAAATAAGTAGTGGAGTAAAGTACTGATACCAGAAAAAAGTACTTAAGTACAGTAACGAGGTATTTGTACTCCACTACTTCCCACCTCTGTTCATCAGTCTAAATTGTTAAACAGTTGTGGAAGCTCATGGTGTCTGGATATCTGAGTGTAGCGAGGCGTACCTGTGAGAGCACGGGCAGGTAGAGGTGTCTGCGGGGGGGCACGTCGGACAGCAGCGGGGTGCTGGAGGTGGAGAACGGACTCTCTCTGTAGAGCTCGGCTGCCAAGTGGTTCCAGTACTCCAGACAGATCTTAAAGATCTCCGTCTCCTCCACCTCCGACACCAGCAGCATGAAGTGCAGCGCCTGAGGGCGGACAAGAGGACATCAATTACTTATTCTGTTACAGAGGGAAAACAAGTAGAAAACAATACAACAAAAACCTGTGTTTAATACCAAATACACAAGTGTGTTATCTGAAAGAAAGATCCCTGAATGAGCAGACAGGTCTTTGGGATTGTTTTAAGTTATGCACTCCCTTTTGACTTCACAGACAAAGGCTGATTAAGAACGGCATTATGAAATAGTTAGATGATTGGTTATAGATGAGAGTTACAGCAACGTCACTTCCGGGCGAAATGTACAGCCCGCCCACTTTTGGGGGAAAACAAAGCTGTCATTTGAATGGGGGTCAATACAAATTCTGAAGCCAATCCGATCAGAGATGAAAGAAACCCGTGGATTTGTGGATCTTCAAAGAGCCCGATTACGATGGCCAGTCAGGCAAACAATTACATTCAATCACTGGAAATCGACGATCGGGCTCGATATATGGTTAAATTCAAATCAGTAGGCGAGGCTGTAATTTCTCCAGCCGTTACTCTCATGAGCGAGGCGGAAAATAATAGTTTTATCATGCCAACAAGCTGCTGTGAAGTTTATTGCACCTCAAACATTAAAACAAATCCAGAGTAACGTGTTTCTGTACTTCCTCTGAGAAGAAAGGACAGTAAAGAAAAGCTCTGTGGCTTCAGGCTCGATCGCCATTCAAATGAAAGCCGTTGTTTCTTCCAAAAGTGGGCGGGGCCGTAAAGAGACGTAGAGGTTACTCTCATCGACATCTATCGCCTA